TGGTTCAACACTCGCAAATCAATCAGTGTGATAGAACACATTAATAAGAGGAGGGAGAAGAACAATATGGTCCTCTCAATTGATGCAGAAAAAGCATTTGACAAAATACAACATCCTTTCCTGATTAAAACTCTCCAGAGTATAGGGATAGAGGGAACATTCCTCAAGTTCATAAAATCCATCTATGAAAAACCCACAGCGAATATCATCCTCAATGGGGAAAACCTGAGAGCCTTTCCCTTAAGATCAGGAACACGTCAAGGGTGCCCACTCTCACCACTGTTGTTCAACATAGTGCTAGAAGCCCTAGCAACAGCAATCAGACAACAAAAAGAAATAAAAGGTATTCAAATTGGCAAAGAAGAAGTCAAACTCTCTCTTTTCGCAGACAGCATGATACTTTATGTGGGAAACCCAAAAGACTCCACCCCCAAATTACTAGAACTCATCCAGCAATTCAGTAATGTGGCAGGATACAAAATCAATGCACAGAAATCAGTTGCTTTCTTATACACTAACAATGCAACTGTAGAAAGAGAAATTAGAGAAACGATTCCATTTACAATAGCACCAAAAACCATAAGATACCTCGGAATAAACCTAACCAAAGAGGTAAGGGATCTATACTCTAGGAACTACAAAACACTCATGAAAGAAATTGAAGAAGACACAAAAAGATGGAAAAATATTCCATGCTCATGGATCGGAAGAATAAACATTGTTAAAATGTCTATGCTACCCAGAGCAATCTAAACCTTCAATGCCATCCCGATCAAAATTCCAATGACACTTTTCAAAGTGCTGGAACAAACAATCCTAAAATTTGTATGGAAGCAGAAAAGACCCCGAATCGCCAAGGAGATGTTGAAAAAGAAAAACAAAGCTGGGGGCATCACGTTGCCCGATTTCAAGCTATATTACAAAGCTGTGATCACCAAGACAGCATGGTACTGGCACAAAAACAGACATACAGACCAATGGAACAGAATAGAGAACCCAGATATGGACCCTCAACTCTATGGTCAAATAATCTTTGACAAAGCAGGAAAAAACATGCAACGGAGAAAAGACAGTCTCTTCAATAAATGGTGCTGGGAAAATTGGACAGCCACATGCAGAAGAATGAAACTCGACCATTCTCTAACACCACTCACAAAGATAAACTCAAAGTGGATGAAAGACCTCAATGTGAGACAGGAATCCATCAAAATCCTAGAGGAGAACATAGGCAGTAACCTCTTTGACATCGGCCACAGCAACTTCTTTCAAGATACATCTCCAAAAGCTAGTGAAACAAAAGCAAAAATGAACTTTTGGGACTTCATCAAGATAAAAAGCTTCTGCACAGCAAAGGAAACAGTCAACAAAACAAAGAGGCAACCCACAGAATGGGACAAGATATTTGCAAATGACACTACAGATAAAGGGCTGGTATCCAAAATCTATAAAGAACTTCTCAAACTCAACACCCAAAAAACAAATAAGTCAAAAAGTGGGCAGAAGAGATGAACAGACACTTCTCCGAAGAAGACATACAAATGGCTAACAGACACATGAAAAAATGTTCATCATCATTAGCCATCAGGGAAATCCAAATCAAAACCACACTGAGATACCACCTTACACCAGTTAGAATGGCCAAAATGGACAGGGAAAGAAACAACAAATGTTGGAGAGGTTGTGGAGAAAGGGGAACCCTCTTACACTGTTGGTGGGAATGCAAGTTGGTACAGCCACTTTGGAAAACAGTGTGGAGGTTCCTCAAAAATTTAAAAACAGAGCTATCCTATGACCCAGCAATTGCACTACTGGGTATTTACCCCAAAGACACAGATGTAGTGAAAAGAAGGGCCATATGCACCCCAATGTTCATAGCAGCAATGGCCGCAATAGCCAAACTGTGGAAAGAGCCGAGATGCCCTTCAACAAATGAATGGATAAAGAAGATATGGTCCATATATACAATGGAATATTACTCAGCCATCAGAAAAGATGAATACCCAACTTGTACATCAACATGGATGGGACTGGAGGAGATTATACTAAGCGAAATAAGTCAAGCAGAGAAAGTCAATTATCATATGGTTTCACTTATTTGTGGAACATAAGGAATAACATGGAGGACATTAGGAGAAGGAAGGGAAAAATGGGGCAGGAATTGGAGGGAGAGATGAACCATGAGAGACTATGGACCTGAGAAACAAACAGGGTTCTGGGGGGGGGAAGGGGGGATTGGTTAGCCCGGTGATGGGTATTAAGGAGGGCACGTACTGCATGGAGCACTGGGTGTTATACAAAAACAATGGATCATGGATCACTACATCAAAAACTAAAGATGTATTGTATGGTGACTAACATAATATAATAACATTAAAAACTACAAAAAAAAAAATAAAGTGGGTTTTTGAAAAAAAAAAAAAGATTTTATTTATTTATTTGGCAGAAACACAGCAAGAGAGGGAACACAAGCAGGGTGAGCGGGAGAGGGAGAAGCAGGCTTCCCGCGGAGCAGGGAGCCTGATGCGGGGCTCAATCCCAGGACCCTGGGATCATGACCTGAGCCGAGGGCAGACGCTTAACGACTGAGCCACCCAGGCGCCCCCATTATATGTTTTTAAGTAGCATGAAAATTAGCAATACAATCCCACACCAGTATTTTAGACCTATGTAGTCTTATCTGCTACAGATATGGGAACTGTGAAAATTCTGGGCAAGAAAGCATCTCTTAAAATGACATAAATTTGTTGAAAAATTTCGTGATAATTCCTTCTTCTTTAGTAATCTTAATCTTATTTACTTGCAGTTTAAAGACTTCATTTAACATTTCTGGCACGTATGATATATATGTCAAATCACTTTTTAACATTTTGATATTAGTAATTTTTCATTGATTGAAACAAAAGTTGCATGTTAGTATCAAAGAACAAATAAAGTATTTTAAAACAATTTTCTTTGGAATACTATCTTATTTCATATGTAGCATAAGGCAGTCAAACTCCTTTTCAGTCTCTGTAAAGATTACAAAGTAATCTTATATTTAAGGTATTAATTTGAATTCTATCAATAGCACTGATAGGATTCATTGATTTGTGGGTCTTTCACTAAGATTTTTGGTGACTGAGGTCGTCAATGAAAAATTCAATGACTCACTAACAAGGCTGTTGCTACTTTCCAGTTGTTTATCAACCCAGATTACTCACTGACCATCTGTTGCAAAAGGACATTGGAAAAGGACAAAATTTCCTGTGAAATAATTTTTAAGAATTTCACATTTTCACAACTCCAAGTATCCATTGTCTATACATATGGAAGTACATTTCCTGCTCAGTGTTTTTATCCCACGAATCCTGGGATTTGTGGTCAGCAAAGTTTCATTATTATGTAGGTTACTTGCGTTCATTTGCAACAGATATTCTGTTTGTAGATCACTTCATGGCCTATTTTTCAGCTCTTTGGATTTCTCGTAGATCCTTCTACATACAATATTATTGCTCAACAGAATAGAAGAAATCTTTAAAATTTCTTACTCTCATAATTAGTAACCTTTTATATGACTGGTAAAATTAATTTTCTTCCCATATTGTTTGGATTACCACAGATTGCTATAATTTATGTCATTCTATAAGAAATGGTACCTATATCTTTCAGATTAGGTTTTAAAAGAAACATTTCAGGGATGGTCTTATGAATTTCAAACTCTCCTTAAATCTCTGAAGTTTCTACCTTTGCCAACTCTGTGTCTTTATATAATATTCGCTTAATCTTGGTGGATTCATCTAAATGAATTAGAAAAAAACTATGTTGTGCATATGGACACTTTCAAATATTCAATGGAGTATTCTCAACACCTTTTCTTAATATTTCGCATTATATGTAGTATTTTTATAATAAGGGCTAGGTTTGTACATCTTTTTGAAAGCTACAGAATCACTAATAGTGCATCAGCCACCCATGTAAATTGGTACTGGTGACTTCAGTGCAACAAGCAGAGTTGTTGAATTGGTGAACAACTCTTGATTAAGTTCCAAATAACAACTGAAACAGTAACTAGTTGCGTTCCTGCAAAATTCAGCATGAATTAAAACTCTACCAAGCACATGTTTACATGTGAAATGGAATTGGTTCTAGATTCAGATAAATACAAATAGACTTTTACCTACATAAGAAGCATGAGGTTGGAGAGTAAAACATTCAGGTTAGGAAAGAGAACGATTCTTTTTTTTTTTTTTTTTTTTTTTTTTTTGGTAAAAGGATTGTGTTTAGCATTTACTGGACCCCATGCAGGATCCTCCAATTCATTGTGACAACCCAAAATACACTTAACGGATTTCCAAAATGCTCCCTGCTCGGTAGACAGCTGTTACGAATATTATTGAATCAGTAAAAAGACGTAACTAATTCTTTAAAAAGCCTCCAGACCTATTTTCTTATAAATATTAGTTTCATAGATATTATATGCTGAAAATGCTCTTGATGAGTATAAAGGCTACTTCATCCAAGGACTGACCATCAACCCGAGTCATTATCTACTGATTTCTCCAAAAGGTTGCTGACTACAATCCCTGGGGATTTGGAAAGGGGGTCCTCAGCCTGAATATGGAAATAGGATGTGATTTACAAGCTTAAGGCACAGTAGCTGTCCTATGATCAGAACTTGGTACTTTGGAAGTCTGTGGTTCTTAATTTGGTTGTTGTTGGCCCCTTCTACTGTTGGTAAACTTTAGGAAAAATTCTTTCTAGCTCTGCTCTAGGAAAAGAACATTGTGCTAAAGGCAAGCTGAAATCTACAGGAAAAGCACATGTCAGGGATGTTTGATCAGCAACCTTCCCCTAGGACTCCCCTGGAGATTTGCTTTCTAATGCTAAATCCTTAGAGATGCTGTGTTTTATTTCATGAAAGGAAGACAATGCCTTCACACCAAGAGACGCAAAATGGGTAGGATACAACATTTGGTAAGATACATTCCCTGCCTGCTAGGGGCTTACTCTTTCAAACTTACCACTCTTACCCCAATGTAGAAAGCAGATTCAGCAAGACATGGCAAGGCAAATGATGATGCCTAGTAATTGACAGAATTAGTTCTCCATAATACAATCTAGAGAAGAGACAAGGTGGAATACAGGCAAGGACTTTAGAAATGATATACACTGAGCATCCAGCTGTATTAGTACCATTGGAATAATAAATTTGATATGGTGGTGATAAAAAGAAGAAATGATATACACTGAGCAAGCTGGGATTGTATGATAATCGTTGGCTAAATCACACCAGTGTAGGAGTTCTCAACCTCACACTATTGACATTTTGGGCAGGAGAATTTTTTTTTTTTTCAGGGCTTGAACTCATAATCCTGAGATGAAAACCTGAGCTGAGATCGAGTCAGATGCTTAACCCACTGAGCCATCCAGGCGCACAGGAGAGTTCTTCATTGTGGCAGGCGGCCCTGTGTATTGTAGGGTGTTTAGCAGCATCCCATCTGCCCATTAGATGCCAGTAGTGGACCCCTCTCACAACTGTAACACCAAAAATGTCTCCAAATATTGGCAGGTGTCCTCTGGAGGCCAAAAACTGCCCTCTGTTGAGAATCACTGCACTACTTCTCAGACTTGTGCATACAAATCACCTGAGGGTCTTGTTAAACGCAGCTTTAATAGGTCTAGGGGTAGGGCCTGGCGCTCTCTAGTCCAAACAAGATCCCAGGTGAAGCTGATGCTGCCCATCCAAGGACAATACTTGCTTCTTAGAAGACAAACCTACAGCTTTCTACCAGTTAACACGTCCAGGTTCTGAGTGCAGAGAAGATGTACACTCAAGGTACTGATCACTGAAAATACTCTCAAGCAAGGTCTGCATACTGTATTAAGTTACTGTGCATTTAGTTAACAATGTTGCAGAATTGAACATAAATAAGTGAAGGGTTTTTTGTCTGTTTTTCCAAACTTCAGAATGCTTTATCTCCTATCTCAGCAGTTCTCAAACCTTTTATCTTGGGATTTCTTCAGAACTCTCAAAGATAATCGAGAACTACAAGAGCTTTTGCTAACATGGGTTATATCTATTAGATATATTAGAAATTAATTAAGAGAGAAAAATTTAAAAACTGTTCGGAATTCGTTTAAAAATAACAATAACATACCCATTGCACATTAATATATTTTTGTGAAAAATTGCTGCACATTCCCAAGCAAACAATTATGGGGAAAAATAGCATTATTGCACATTTTTGCAAATGTCTAAGATCTGGCTTTACAGAAGACAGCGGGATCCTCATACCTGCTTCTGCTTTCAGTTTGTTGTGATAAGTTGTTTCATTTGAAATACATGAAGAAAATCTGGCCTCACACAGCTTTGTAGTTGGAAAAGGAAGCAATTTAAGTCATTTCAGATAATATGGACATTTTGGTCACTACAGCATAACTTAACAAGCGGTAGTTTATTAAAGATTAGTTGCAATGAGAAATCTGAAACCCTATCAATGAGCTTTTTGTACTGTTACACTAAAATGTATTGGTTTATCTTGCAGTTTGAATTGATCTTACCCACGCATGTTTTTGTAACAGGATGCATTGATCAACCGGCAACTCCACTGTATACTCCTGAGTGAATAAGAGTAAAAAAAAAAAAAAAAAAAAAAAAAGGTCTTAATTATGAAAATAGTTGTGGCCTGTCTGGATTCCCTAAATTGGGGTGGGGTGGCCACACTTACTTTGAGAACCAGTGACCTATGTTGGCTACCGGTTTTGTTGCCTACCAACAGCTTCTGCAAAACAAAGAAAAGCCTAAGGAAAATAAGTCACGTATGCTTTTGCCTTCTAGCAATAAATCAGTGATAAAATTTTGGGTCACTGGCACCTCTTCTTAAAGGCAGGAATTGTGTTTTATTCTTCCACAAATTCCAGATTTAGCTCAGCGCCTGGCCCTTACAAGCACTCAGAAAGTATCTCCTTTTTAAAGTATGCCATACCGTTGTGTAGCCTGTCCTTTTCATTTAGCCTTGTAGTTGGTCAATCTCCCCATAATACGTATTCTTTAATAACTACATAATATAAAATTAAAGTTTTCAGGCTCAAGCTCATTCAAAAAAACATGACTTTGCCTTAGTAAAGATTAATTTCATTTTGCAAGAGAGAAAAAATGAAATGGCTAGGTCTGGAAGGCCGCTAAGGCAGAAGTCTGGGGAGCAAGGTCGCTCAGCCTTAGACTCGCCACGTCTGGGATCTGACCACCTGCCAGCGCGGTGTGGAAGGGTGGGACCCGGTGACCACGGCACCCGGCGCTTGAGGGGATTCCGCGCGGGATCGACGTAGGAGAGGGGGGCAGCTGGACAGCGCAGCTCTCCGCGACTGAGCGGACTCTCGCACTTGCTGGACACCGGAACGCCAGAGAGTTACTGTGACATCCTCGGGGGCGCGAGCCTCGGGGGCTGAGGCGGGGGGGGGGGGGGTCTGCCCAGAAAGACTGAGCATGCGTGGACCGCGCCGGGCGTCCCGTCCGGGGAGAGGTTAGAGGTCGCGAGGAATACCTTCGCCCCGCCGGCCCTCCGGAGGAATCCGCTGCCACGAGGCTCCTCAGGTGCTGCTTCCAGGAGTTACACTCCCGCTCCTCCCACGAACTCCCATTGCTTTTCTTTTTTTTCTTTTTTTTTTATTTATTCATTTGAGATAGAGAGAGAGAGAGCATGAGCAGGGAGAGAGGCAGAGGGAGAGGGAGAAGCAGGCTCCCCGCTGAAACAGGAGTCCGATGTGGGGCTCGATCCCAGGACCCTGGGATCATGACCTGAGCCGAAGGCAGACGCCTAACCATCTGAGCCACCCAGGCGCCCCATCCCATTGCTTTTCTAAAGGGGACCCGCGGCAGTCGGGAAAACCCGGACAGACGGATCCCTCCGACTGCGGACCGACTTCCCTTCCCAGGCAGGAAGGGAGGGGGCGGGCGGAGAGGCACGGCCCACGGTCCGCGCATGCGCCGCTCGCAGGCATCCTGGAGTGGACTCCAGTTGCCGGGTTCGCTGCCACGCCGGGAGTGCGCCTGCGCGGTCGCCGGGTCCCTCCACCTCCACTTCCCCTCCCCCTGTCCCCCCTTGGGGGCTCCGGGTCCGGCGGGACCATGTTCACCAGCACCGGCTCCAGTGGGCTTTGTGAGTACCGGCTGCCGCCATCCTGGCTGTTCCCTACGCGCCACCCTGGGCACCTCCTTGAGAAGCCTGGGGGCAGCGGGGACCCTCGGGGTTGCAGGAGGTTTGGGGGCCGACCCTCCATCCCCGCGCCCGAACCTTAGGGGTTCCTTCCCGTGAGGGGCAGCAGGCACCGCCCCCACCTCAGCCTGAAGGGGCCAGTGGGGACTGAGTCTCGCGGTCAGCCCCGGCCCCCACCTATGAACCCCAGGTGCGATGCTCAGGTGTTCCAGGGGCTGCTGCAGGTGGGCTGGACAGTTAGGGTCGGGCTGGGTGTCCTGGTGTTCTCCGGACTCGACCCCTTGCGCTGAGCGGCGCGTGTGCCAGGCTGAAGAAGAGGCTGTCCTGGTGGAGCAGATGCTGGAAGCCTGCCCCCTTCCCAGTCACCTTGCTCCATTTAGGCTACAGAGGGACCGAACTGGCTCTCCCCCAGATGCAAATTTCCAACCGCTGTCTCAGGAGCTAACCCCTCAGGTTTACTTAGATTTCTTTCTTCCTCGATCTCCCTTAAGAGTTTTTAGACAAATAAAAACTGATTAAAGTACATTAAAGTGGAAGGAAGTTAAGTCATTTGGCAGCAAAGTGCGGACATTGCTGCTGGATGTTGCTGTGATCTTTCACTTGAACATCAGTGGTGGTCAGCAGAGGGCAAAGAAGTATATATAGCCTTTTAAACCATTTTATTTTTTTCCCTGAAATTGTTCAGTTGACTCTTGGTAAGGTGGCTTGTGTGTTAAGTAAACAGCACTGAGATTAAATACTGGTACAGCAACACGAACTGTTTGAAGAAGTGTAATTTGCAATTGCTTGTCTCTGTTAGGACTTCATATCTCGCTTCATGACTGGGTATGGAAGCAGTTGACATTTCCAAATACTAGAGATCTGTTGTTACTGTTAGAAATCTTTTCTGAGAATACAGGTCTTAGGCTGAAAATATCAGCGCCACAGGCATCATTTTAAATTTTCCTCACTCTCAGGTTTTGGAGTGGGTTGAATATTTATGATTTCCCTTGTTTCATTATTAATTCGACTTATGGTACTCGTCAGCCTCAGAGTAGGTTACAACCACTGGCTAGTTAATCTTCCCCAAACTACCCGTTGGATAAAGGACTGTTAATACTGCTGGTCAAGAAGGTGGTGTGATTTTCTTGGGATCACACAGTGAGCCCTCCACTGGTGGATATAAAATTAATGGTAGAATCTTCAATTTTAGTTATTTCAACCTTCGGAGCTATTCTTGCTGACCAAAATACACGAAAAAATAAAAAAGGTTACTATACTGGGTTACTGGTTACTGTAGTAGTCATTGTGTTGGCAAAGTTTATTCAGCTTTGATACATGGTGACACTGGGGAAGGTCATACTTGATTACCTAAGGCACAGGGTTGATGAGTACCGAATCCTAGGAACGAAACTCCTGCCCAGGGAGAGGCATAGGCCAAGGCTTCTCCTCAGTTGTCTTGCCCTGTTTATAAAATAAGTGTATCCTCAGGGTAAGACTTGATGGGATGGCCATTCCTCAGAAGGCATGTCTTATGTGCTCATTTAACAAACATTTTGAGCATCTGTTGTGGGCTAGAAACTGTGCTAGTTGCTGGGATGACAATGTTGAACAAGTCTTGGTCCCTTGTGTTCGCAGTACTTTAGTGGACGTCGGGCAGTTTTTCCAGGACTGGTCTTTGGCAAGACTGGGTGTGAGCAGTCATCTGCTTTAAAATTTTTCCTTGCAAGGTTATCCACTGAGAGGGAAGTGATTTTGTTTAGCAAGTTGTGTAGCTCTTTGGTAAGTCAAAGTTCTGATCTTGAGTAAATATCCTGAGGAAGAATAATCTGCCTACCCATGACCCCATGGATGATGAGCTAATACTCTTTTCAAGGGAAAAAGTCCCTGCCATTTCCTACCACCTGCAAATGTCCCTCGTTATGTGACTGGTAGATAATGGTGTTTTAGTGTTACATTTGCCTTCCTCTCAGTTATTTATTCAACAAGTGTCTATGGGGTACCCATGTGAGCCACACACTGTTTGTGTACAGAGGATGAAGAGGTAAACTGCGTAAAGGAGACCAACATCCAATAAGTTAACAAACAGTGTGATTTCCCATAGTGATAAGTGTCACGAAGACAATACGAGTATAATGGCATGGAGATTGAGGTTATGGTGGATGCCTGCTTCAGCAAGTGTGGTCAGGGAAGATATATGGAAACGTGACATTTGAGCTGAGACCCAAATGGTGTGAAGGAGCCACCCACGTCAGAATTTGTTGGAAAATGTGCATTTTGCAGAAAGGGAACAGCAAGCACAAAGACTAAACAGACACAACAGGGCATTTTCAAAGTACTAAAGAAAGCTGGGGCTTCCAGGGCATTAAATCAAGGGTAGGGCATTTGTGACTATGTCTTTGAAACTGTATTGCTGTCTATCTAGTCATGTAATTATGACTCGATAAAAGTGCATAGGAAACATGTTCCAGACTCATTTTAGATTGCTTATAGACCAGTGCATCACTTAATCATGTGTTAATTAATAGATGTATCACTTATTATACTTAATAATAAGTTTTCCCATTACTTAGTCACTTAACAGTATATTCACTGTGCAACAATAGACTTAACCAACGTTAATTGCATGTCTAATGTATTCCAGGCTTAGTTCCCACCCTCAAGGAGTTCATTGTCTAGTGGGAGAGTATTTTAAAAAAGAAATGAAACAACTTGTCTACTTGGTGCTGTGGGTTTATTGACGGGGGTGGGCTGGTGAAGGGAGAGGCACAGTTGTTACTGTAGGTGATATTTGAGCTGATTTTTGAGGGATAAGTAAGAGTTTGTCAGGCATGCAAGTGGGGAGAGGGCCTCAAAGAGGGACAGAGCCTGGGCAGGCCTGGCAAAGAGGCAGGAGGTAGTAAATTAGAGGATTGTTGGTTATGGCTGGACTGAGCAGTTTAAGAGGTGTGTGCTGAAATCATCCGCCTGAAGAGGGAGAAGAGGAGCTAGGGAAGAAGGTAGAGGAATGGTTCCCTCCTCTTCAGGAACACAGATAGGAATGAATGATAGACAAAGTCCGGAGAAGCGGAAGGAGGTGATGATCTAGAGCACTACTTGGGAATGCTTCACGTTGCTGGGGGAAGGAAGGTGGGAGGTTATTGTTGGTGATGGGAGCAGTGTTTTCCAAATGCTGCCTGAGTCCTGGCTGCAAAAAAAAAAAAAAAAAAAAAATCAACCATGGAGCTCTCTGAATGTCCATATTCCTGGATCCCATCCCCAGAGAGACAGATTGAGAAGGGCTGATGTGGGCATCAGAAACCTGAATTTTTAAAGCATTCCCAGGAGATTCTAAGGAGCAGAGAGATTTAGATCAAAACAAAAGGATGGCCAGCAGAAGGAGCAGAGTGAATAGAGTCCAACAGGAGATGCTGAAGGCTCCAGCTTAGGTAGTAGCAGTGAGAATGAACAGGATAGAGAAGAAGGATTCTGAAGATGTGTGAGTAGGTACGTTGTGTCAATAAAACTTGTTGGATTTGGGGGATAAAGAGGAGTTGAAGGTGGCTGTAGGTAGATAGATGGTGTTACCATTCACTAAGGTAGGGGATGTGGAAAAGGGGGAGCTCGTTTTGTGGAAAGATGAGTTCAGCAGTGGCCGCATTTAATGTGGAGGGTTCTGTAGTGTACAGAGATACCCGGGGGGGCTTATGGAGAGAGGGAGCTGGACTGGATGTGGGTAGTTAGGTGGGAGCTCTGCCATGGATACGAGTGAGGACATCCGGAGCAGTGAGTAGAGTTAGGAGGCTAGGACAGAGGCTCAGGCAATTCTAGTAGCTGAGGGATGGTAGGGAAGGGGGAGAGAGCAGAGTAGGCAGAGATGGGTGTTTCCTTGGGAGAAACCTGTCTTATTCCCCCAGTTCAATTTGATTTGCCCTCTTTTGTTGTAAATAAACTCTTGAGCTCTTCACTCTCTCTCACCACAGTGACTCTGATCGCCATACCCTCCATTCCTCTTGTCTCCAGTTTACAGCCCATTTTTGGCGTCTTCCATATCAGGTCTGGAACCCACAGTTAATTACTGGAGTTGCATTCTCATCGAGACGCTCAGAGACCTGGTACACCTGTCCCGTTAGTCATCTGAAAAAAACCAACCTCGTGTTCAGGTGCGACGCCTAATCTGAGCTGAGTCCTGGGATGCAGTCATCTCCCTGTGCTCTTCCCCCTTTCATCCCTATCCTCGAGACTAGTCCCGGTCTCGGCCCATCTCACTGCTAATGCACCCCCACGATAAGGTCTGTCACTGTTTATAGCCACACGTTAGCAGTTGTCAATGACTTCCCATTGTAGGTGATACTTGAGCTGAGTTTTGAGGTATGAGTAAGAGTTGGTCAGGCATACAATCTTTGTTCCTTTCTCTTTTCCCCAAGCTAAAAGAATGAAGCATTCTTCTAGCTGAAGCCCACCCTCCATCTCTTCTTAACTCATTCTCTATTGCCTTTTCTAACACCACTTCTTCATTCTCTCCTTTTAGAAGATGAGCCTGGCACATGGTTAAATCTGGTGCTTTCTCCTGTTAATGCTGTAGTGGGCTTTTCAGAGACTCCCAGAGTACTTCAGATCCCTTACCCGTGGAAAGGGGAGAATATTATCTATTTTGTTGAGCTGTTGTGAAGATTAAGGGTTAGGGTGTGTAAAGCTCCTAGACTAGGGTTAGGTATTTTTAACTGGATCCTTCTTCTGAGTG